GTGCCAGGAAAGGAGACCAGAGAGAGGCTGATGGTGGTCGGGTCACAGCACTGCACTCTGGCCCCCGCTGTTGCAGACCTTTGAGCATTATGAGGATTAATTGAGATCAAGTGCACGAGGCTGCAGACATCACCTGGATAAGAGCCTGGTTATCATTCACTGGCGTGCCCTCTGCACGTCGGCGTTTCTAAATCATAGCATCTGCTATCATGACAACTGTGCTCTTTATCTAATGTGCTTGCCACCATGCTTCCTTGTGAGTCAGTTGCTCAAATGTGCCTCCCAAGGCGCAGGATATCCCTGGTAGTTAGTTTCCCAACTCCTCTGAAATGCTTCCCCGTGAGGGCTTCTCAGGGATGGAGTTACTGGCAGCAGCAAAGGGGAAGAGGTGGACATTTAATGGGTTGGCAGACATTTCACAGAGGTGTCTGGGTGCTTAGCAAAAAGCAGTTTGTGAGATGCTTTAACCCAATTAAAATGAACCTGTAAATACTTAAAGGGAGGCAACCGCACATACCCGTTCATGGGGGAGCCCTCCTCATGCAGAAGGCGCTCTCCCCACAGAGCAGAAGGGTCTGTTGAGATATGAGAATGTCTCCGTCAGGACAGATGGATTTCTTGAAGATTTTTCGTTTCATTTCTTTTAAAGTGTTAAACCCCCCTTCCCCAAAGGAAAGTAGCTGAAGAAAAAATAGAACGACAAAGAGCAACATTTTCAAAGCAAGTGCAAAACTGGTTCTCCTGCCCAACCCCAGTCCCACTTTGTGGGCAAAGCTGCTGTTGGAAGGCAGAGTGAGCAGTGAGCACTGGGTGGGCCATTCGGAGCCCAGTCACAGGCCCTACTCTACTGCTTCACACGTGACCTCGACGGGCCCCCAGGCCTCCCTGAGTTCAGACTCCTCGACCGTTTATGAACATTTGGTCTGACAGTGTATGCCTGTGCCTTTGCTCCCCGAGGTTCTTTTGTGGGCAGCTCTACAAGACCTTATCTCCGTATTAGAACATTTGATCACAGCAGAGTACAGGCCACAGACCCTCTCTCTGTCACAGGGATGTAACTTTGACTTGCCTATCTGTGAAGACCACTGCTCCAGGCTCCCTGGAGATGAGCTGGTCCCCATGGGCACTCCCAGTTTCCACTAGCCTCCCAATCCCTTTGCAGCCAAGGCCTTCGTAGAAAGGGTGCAGAATCTGAGTTGTGTGGCCTTGATTCCTATCAAGGGCATCCTTTGTGAAGGGCGTGTGCCCTCTGCTGTCCAACAGGTTCGACGGTCACTGTTGTATAAATGAATAAAACATCTTATATATGTAACACTAGTGTGCTGTGGGAATTCCTAAGAAACAGATGGCCTGTTTTAAAGTGTATCAGGTGTGTGAATGTTCCCCGCGTCTCACGTGGTTCAGGGTTCAGGATCTGGAAGAGGGACTGCACACAAATGAAAGAGATGAGACAAGAAATAATAATTTGGAAATTGGGGGGCCAGGCGATAGCCCATCCCGAGAGGATGGACTCCACTTGTGCTCAGGCCTTGTCATCCTTTTATTTACTTTGGGATACACCTATAGCCCGTAGGCAGGCAAGTTCCAGTAACAGACAGACTATCTTCTCAGTAAGGATTGACATGACTATCTGGTAGGGAAGTTGCTTCAGCTACCACTGTCTGGACTAAACAGTGGGTGCATAGCCCTGATCTTTGCCGGGGATCAAAGGCCACCAGCCTTCTGGGTTCCTTGTCCACACCTCTCTGCTAGTGAAGGTAATGGGCGGCTTCCCGCAAGGTGTGCTTGAGGAGGGAAAAATACTGGAAATGACTACGCAAGAGCAGATACCAAGGATGGCTGTTTATGACCAAGGACATTAAATTACCAGACGAGGAGCTCCAGTGGCGCAATCGGTTAGTGCGCGGTACTTATAAGAAATTACCAGACGAACTGTCTTTATAACCAGAAGGGATAGTGACCAGAAGTTTTAATATTAAGTACCAACATTTATTGAATACTCACAAACACATCAAGCATTGTGCAGAGCCAAGCTGTGATAAATGCATGCACATCCCCACTTGCCAAACCCTCGCCCATGGCAGACATCACAAGTCAATCTCAGTTCTCCTCCTGTTGGGCCAGCACGTGGCCTCATCATCCTCAATTCACTGTTCTAGGAAGTCAGTCTCATGGGATGAGAGTCAGTGCACAAAAACCAAGCTGATTTAAAATACCTCTAACATGCTTTACTTGTATTGACTCATTTTGCCCTGATAATAATTCTTCAGGGTAGATACAATCCCTTTTACCAAGGAGGAAAATGAGACTTGGAGAGGATCTCTATTAAGTGGTAGAAGCAGGATTCAGTGAATGAAGCAGGATTCAGTTTAATTTCAAAGCCAGTGCCTTTAATCACTGTTACACTACTTCTCTAGTCTTAACGTTTAAACAGTGGTCAGAGAAGTAGCTGTTTATACTCTTTCATCATGTCTTTACGAGATTGGTGAATCCCTGGACCTTAAGGGTTTGACTCATTCTCTCAAACCATTCCCATACTCCAAGCTGTATCCACTCCACCCCCAGGCCTGCTTGGCTCCTAAAAAGGCCGGTATTTTCCTAGAGAAGCAAGCCTACCACCACCAAAGTCAATTACTTCCAATACCTGCTAGGAGGCACCCATAGGACCATGCTGCACATGTCTTGGGCACATTTACTTCATTCCTCCTTTGGGGGCTGGGAGGGTCACTGTGTGGTGGTGGGGGGGGGGTTGTTGGGGGGAGATTGGATTTTGTTATATGAGAAGATCCATGGCCCCATTGGTATAATGTTTTGAAGTTTAACTCAGATGATACCGAGATGTGCTTTAAAATAATTTTATTGATAAGTATTGACAATTAGAACATTTTATCCCTGTTAATAAGGTCAGTTTTTAAAGAGCTATAAGCAGTTTTACCTAGGTGCTACTGTTTGTTCAGGTATGTTAGTTAATGGTTTGGCCAGCTCTTTTGGCATGTATATTTTCATTTTTTGAGGAATGCAAATGTCCAAACTTAGCTTGTGCATTATATAAGATTCCCAAATTACACACCTCTTTAGCATCTTTGTTTCTTTTATTTAATATAGTGTGGGCCTGAACTCTAACTTGAGATGTGATGACACTTATTTTTAATTTTTGAAATAATATCTAGCCTCCTACAATGTTTTCCAATGCTATGCAAGGACATTTTTATAGTCCTAATAAATCTTTGCTGCTAAGTCTATCTCCTCTACTGGAAACAGTTAGTTGCTATCTCAATAACACTTCCTAGTTTAATGGGTCACATCCTATATAATAAAAGGCTAATATGCAAATTGACCGAACTACAGAATGACCGGTTGCTATGATGCACACTGACCACCAGAGGGCAGATGCTCAGTGCAGGAGCTGCCCCCTGGTGGTCAGTGCGCTCCCACAGGGGCAGCGCCGCTCAGCCAGAGCCTGGGCTCACGACTGGCGAGCACAGAAGCCGTGGTGGGAGCCACTCCTGCCTCCGCAGCAGTGCTAAGTATGTCCAACTGCCGGCTTAGGATGTCCGACATCCCCCAAGGGCTCCCGGATTGCAAGAGGGCACAGGCCAGGCTGAGAGACTTCCCCTTCCCCCAAGTGTACGAATTTCATGCACTAGTTAATAATAATAGTAAATTTATTGAGAGCCAGAGATGATGTTAGGCTAACTATATACATATCCATTAAATCCTTACCACGTATCTTCAAGAAAAGTGTTATCATGCTCTTTTTATAGATGAGATAACTGAGGTGAGTGATTTGAACAAGGCCATCCAAAACAATAAGAATTCGAGGTGGGATTTGAACCCTGGTTTATGAGAGATGAAAGCCTTGCTGCCCTTTCACTCTATCTGTCAGGATTGTCTTGCCTTTCCTTTTCCAGGTCAGCTAATTTCTGTAAGCTTTTAAGAATCCTAGGTCTATAAACAGGTCCCTCTGATTATTCAGCCTATTTTATAGGAACTGTCACATAGAGCTCATAGACCTTGGCGTGGTACCCTCATATAGGATAATGGCAGGTTGTTTGTTCAATAGCAGCTTTATTGAGGTATGATTCACATACCAAGAAAGTTACCCTTTAAAGTGTACAATTTGGTGCTTTTTAGTATATTTGCAAAATTGTACAACCATTACCACAATCAAGTTTAGAACATTTTCATCACCTCCTAAAAGAAACCTCATGTCTATTAGATCACTACCCATTCCTTTATCCCTCTCCCCCCTGTCAGTGCCCAATCTCCTTTGCATCTCTGTGGATTTGCCTTTTCTGAACATTTTATATGGATGGAATCATACAATATGTGGCTTTTTGTGTCTGGCTTCTTTCACTGAGTGTAATGTTTTCAAGGTTCATCACGTTGTAGCCTGAATCAGTACTTCATCCCTTTTTTGTTGTTTTTGTTTAATCCTCACCCAAGGATATTTTTTCTATTTGATTTTTAGGGAGAGTGGAAGGGAGGGAAGGAGGAGGAGAGAGAAACAACTATGTGAGAGAGACACATTGATTGGTTGCATTCTACATGCACTCCAACAGGGGCCTGGGATTGAACCTGCATCCCAGGTACATGCCCTTGACTGGGAATCGAACCCATGGCCCTTTGGTGCGAGGGCCAATGCTCCAACCACTGAGCAGCACCTGCCAGGACAATACCTCATTCCTTTTGATGGCTGAACAATATTCCATTGTATGGGTAGACCACATTTTATTGATCCATTCATCTGTTAATGGACATTTGAGTTGTTTGTACTTCTTGGCTCTTATGGAACATTCATGTGCAGGTCCTTGTGTAGATGTGTTTCCATTTTCACTTTGTCAGTTTGTCTTTAACTCATCCTGGTGTGGTTCAGTAAGCCTTCCATTTGGTTACAACCATTCTGTGTGATAGCAAATTACAACAATAGAGGACTGTTTGAATTATATTTTGTGGTCATCTTTTCTTGGTGAGTTCCTACGGTCTGTTTTTTCTTGTAGACCTGCCCTTCATGCAAAATTACATTTGCTCCCAAATTGGAAGCTGGTGCAGAAGAAGGAGCAATGCAAAATGGCTGTCAGGAGGAGCATAAGAATAAACACAAGGTAACAAGCTCCTGGCTGTCATACCTGTCAGTTCTTCTCTGCTGCATTCATCTGAGATGACACTCCTGTTGTCAGCTTCTCGGTTCTGGGAATACTGCCTTTTAGGTGACCCATTCCATACCTCTAGTCCTTTTGTGTTTTGAGCAGACCAGTAAAGAACAGGAATGAGTCAGAACTAATCTCTGAGAAGTAATGCTGAACTGAATGGGATCCCTAATGGGCAATAAGGGTTTAAAGACATGTGGATTAGAGTTAGGGAAGGTTTGTAGAGCTAGAAGTTGGATTCAACATCTGGTGGACTGTGGGTTTGCAGAGAGAAGAGGGGACTTCAGGATAAGAGACACATCATGGAGAGGGGCTTGGGATTAGGGACAGCAGCAAGGAAGCTGCCAGAGAAACCTCACTTGGAACCAGAGCCAGGACTGGAGTGGAAAGCAGATTAAATAGCTGGGAAGGCTGGCCCTCCAGGAAACCTACTCCACCCTCATGTCATCTGCCCATGGATTGTGCGACACTAGGTCCGCCTGTGTTGCAGACAAGCAGTCACCCTTTCCTAAGCTACAGCCCATATAGGTTTTCTTTCTCTGGATCCACTCTTGCACTTCTCCCAAACCTTCCCCATAGCCCTCTGGAACCCTGGTTCTGTGGTCAGCAATCTGAGCGCCTCAACCTCCCCGGTTGCCTGAACGCCTGGAGTTGCGATTTGACAAATCAGGGGGATAGGGAGAAGCAGGTGGGCGACGAGGTTGAGAGTTTGGATTGGGACCGAGATTTGAAGGTGCAGCGTGCAGTGCAGTGGGACCCCAGCGTAGCAGAGGGGTTGGGTGGAATAGCATGCTGCACACCCACGGGTCACCTCTGTGTCTGCTTCCCTCTGGCATGAGGCAGGTTTCTGGAGGTCATAATTCCAAAACACAGAACGGACTCCTCAGCCCTCCCCAAGAGGAGAAGCTCACCAACAGCCAGACCTCCCTGTGTGAGATCTTACAGGAAAAGGGAAAGTGGGCAGGTGTCAGCTTGGACCAGTCTGCTCTCCTTCCACTGAGACTCAAGAACATCCGGGAGAAAACAGACGCCCACTTTGTTGATGTTATCAAAGAAGACAGGTAAGAGGGAGCTGTGGGAATTGAAGTAAAATTTGCAGATAGAAGCTTCTCCCTTTCTCTAAATTACCTTATCTATCGTGTTGTCAATATATCACTTTACTTTGAAGTAATTTGAAACTTACAGAAACATTGCATGAACAATACAAAGAATTCTCTTTATACTCTTTGCCTGATTTTTCTAACCTTTAACATTTTACTGTTTGTTTTAGTCTCCTCTCTCTCTCTCCCTCTTTCTCTATAAAATTTATAATTTTTTTCTGGACCACTTGACAGTAAGTTGAATATGTCATTCTCTTTACTCCTTAATACTATATTTCCTAAAAATAAAGATGTCCTTCATATAATCATAGTTATCAAATTTGGTAAATTTGGCATTGTTGTGATATTTTATATCTGTAGTACATAGTCCAGGTTTTGCTTTTTTTTTTTTTATCAAAATGAGCTTTATGACAGAGGGAGGTGGAGAGGGAGGGAGAATATAAATGTTTTTTGTTTCTTTGTTTTAAATATATTTTTATTGATTTCAGAGAGGAAGGGAGAGGGAGAGGGAGAGGGAGAGGGAGAGGGAGAGAAGAGAGAAACATTGATTGTACATGCCCCAACTGGGGATCAAACTTGCAACCTAGGTATGATCCTGACCAGAAGTAGAACTCACAACCTTTTGGTATACAGGACGGCACTCCAACTAACTGAGCCACCTGGCCAGGGCTCCAGTTTTGTCTGTTGGTAGCACTTCCTTTCTCTTTAGCGCGGGATTCTGCCCTGGGTCAGAGGTTTCATTATGCAGTGAATGCCTCTTTAGTCTTTTTAAATCTCAGGCAGTCCCTCCGCCATTCGGTGTCGTTTATGATGTTGGCTTTTTTGAAAAGTGCAGGCCTGGTTCTTTTATAAAATATTCCAAAAGTTGAATTTGTGTGACGTTTCCTCGTGCTTACACTCAGGCTGGGCAGATATTACAGAAGGGGTGTGTCCTTCTCAGGTATCATTTCTAAAGGCTCCCCATGTCCATTGGTCCCTCATCTGCATAGTAATTTTGATCAACCAGACAAGTATGTTTTAGACTTTCACAATTATAGTTATGATTTTCTTCTTGTGCCTAATAAGCTGTCTGTGGGAAGACGCTTTATGATCATGTAAATATCACATTCCTCATCAGACTCCCCTAGTTTAATCTCCATGGATGGTTCTTGCCTAAACAGCCTTTACTGTGCTGGTTTAGAAGAGTGATTTCCCTGCTCCAGCACCAACTGCACAGTTATCATTTGGTGTCTAGCATTCCACTGTAAAGAGCCCCTCCCACTTATTCCTTCATCTACGCCTTTATTGTCAACCTGGACTCATGGAGTTCTGTTCTGCTTGACAGGATATAGTTTATCACTGTCCTGATTCTAGTTTGATGCTCTGGTTGTACCAAATCTGGCCTTGTGGGAACCCCCCTTTTGGCCTGACTCCATCATTTATTTTGAGCAATTTCTTACATTCTATCTACCACAGCAATTTTCAACTGGTGTGCTGTGAGAATTTTTAAAACATGCAATACCTGACTATTGAGTCAGGAGCACTGACCTCTTTTCCCTGAGGTTGTCAAATAAAATTTTTTTTTAAAAATGAGAACCCCAACACAATAGCCGTCCAGTGTGAATGAATCAAAGTTATACATTTTTATTTGTCAGATTGGCAAAACTATGATGTATTTTTTTGGTGTGCTGCAGAATTATAGTAATTAGTTTATGTGTGCCTGAGATGAGAAAGGTTGAAAATCGCTGGTCTAGCACCGCAGGATATATTCCAGGCTTGTTTTGTATCTTCCCTGCCCCCACTCAGGAATCAGATGTTTCTCAAAAGAGCCCTCACTCCTTTTAGTGAAGAATGGTATTTAGATGTGTTAGTTATCAATGCCTAACGTAATGTCATCATGGTCAAAGACATACTTTATGTGATTTCAGTACGTTACATTTATTGATTCTTGGTTTATAGCCTCACATGTGGTCTTTTTTTGGCGAACATATCTTTGCACTTGAAAAGAATTGGAAAATATAAATAGACCGATCAGCAGTGAGGAAATTGAAACAACCATCAAAAACCTCCCGAGCCCTAACCGGTTTGGCTCAGTGGATAGAGTGTCAGCCTGCGGACTCAAGGGTCCCAGGTTCGATTCCGGTCAAGGGCATGTACCTTGGTTGCAGGCACATCCCCAGTGGGGAGTGTGCAGGAGGCAGCTGATTGATGTTTCTCTCTCATCGATGTTTCTGACTCTCTATCCCTCTGCCTTCCTCTCTTTAAAAAAATCAATAAAATATATTTTTTTAAAAATTAAAAGAAAAACAAAAGTCCAGGAACAGATGGCTTCACTAGTGAATTCTACCAACTGTTCAAAGAAGATTTAAAACCTATCCGTTTCAAATTCTTCCAAAAAATTGAAGAAGAGGCAATCTTCCTAACACATTCTATGAGGCCAGTATAACCCTGATATCAAAACCTTGCAAAGATAACACACACAAAAAAGAAAATTACAGACCAATATCTCTGATGAACACAGATGCAAAAATCCTAAACAAAATACTAGCAAATCTAATATAACAGTACATAAAAACATAATACATCATGATCAAGTGAGGTTCATTCCAGGGGCACAAGGATGGTTCAAGATGTCCAAATCAATCAATGTAATACACCATATTAACAAAAGAAAGGATAAAAATCATATGATCTTATCAATAGATGCCGAAAAGCATTTGGTAAGATACAACATCCATTTATGATTAAAACACTCAATAAAATAGGAAAGTACCTCAAAATGATAAAGGCCATACATGAGAAACCCTCAGCTAATATCATACTCAATGATGAAAAACTGAAAGTTTTTCCTCTAAATTCAAGAACAAGACAAGGATGTCCACTCTCACCACTCTAATTCAACATAGTGCTGGAAGTCCTAGCCAGAGCAATAAGGCAAGAGAAAGAAAAGGCATCCAAATAGGTAAGGAGGAAGTCAAACTGTCACTTTTTGCAGACGACATGATTCTATATATAGAAAACTCTAAGGATTCCACCAAAAAACTATTAGAAACAATAAACAAATACAGCCAAGTTGCAGGATACAAATTCGATGTGCAAAAATCCATTGACTTCCTGTATACTAACAACAAAACTTCAGGGAAAAAAAATGGAAAAACTATGTTTTTCTCACATCGATGTTTCTCTTGGTCTTTCCCTTTCTCTTTCACTCTCCCTAAAAATCCATGGGAAAATATCCTCAAGTGAAGATTAACAACAACAAAAACAACAAAAAGAAAGCCTTAGCTGGTTTGGCTCAGTGGATAGAGTGTTGGCCTGGGGACCAAAGAGTCCCTGATTCAATTCTGGTCAGGGGCATGTACCTTGGTTGCAGGCTTCTCTCTGGCCTGGGCCCTGGTCTGTGCTCATCCAGGAAGCTACCAATCAATGTGTTTCTCTAACATCAAAGTTTCTGTCTTTCTATCTCTCTTCCACTCCCTCTAAAAATGAATGGGGAAAAACAATTCCTTTTGCAATTGCAACCAAAAGAATAAAATACCTGGGAATAAACTTAACAAAAAATGTGGAGAAACCAAGATGGCGGCATAGGTTAACGCCGAAGATTGCTGCCTCGAACAACCACTTCAAAAATAAAACTAAAAGACGGACCGG